GCTCCGACGCTCGTCGGATGTGGCAGGGCTTGCAACCTATTACAGACTAGAAAGGGAAGCACAGCCGCGAGCTGCCCAGTGACACAAGCCTACCAGACGAGCTAAATTACTTCTATGCTCGCTTCGAGGCAAGTAACACTGAAACATGCATGAGAGCATCAGCTGTTCCGGATGACTGTGTGATCACGCTCTCCGTAGCCGATGTGAGTAAGACCTTTAAACAGGTCAACATTCACAAGACCGCAGGGCCAGACGTATTACCAGGACGTGTACTCCGAGCATGCGCTGACCAACTGGTAAGTGCCTTCACTGACATTTTCAACCTCTCCCTGTCTGAGTCTGTAATACCAACATGTTTCAAGCAGACCACCATAGTCCCTGTGCCCAAGACCACTAAGGTAACCTGCCTAAATGACTACCGACCCGTAGCACTCACGTCTGTAGCCATGAAGTGTTTTGAAAGGCTGGTCATGGCTCATATCAACACCATTATCCCAGAAACCCTAGACCCACTCCAATTTGCATACCGCCCCAACAGATCCACAGATGATGCAATCTCTATTGCGCTCCACACTGCCCTTTCACACCTGGACAAAAGGAACACCTATGTTAGAATGCTATTCATTGACTACAGCTCAGCGTTCAACACCATAGTGCCCTCAAAGCTCATCACTAAGCTGACCCTGGGACTAAACACCTCCCTCTGCAACTGGATCCTGGACTTCCTGACGGGCCGCCCCCAGGTGCTAAGTGTAGGTAACAACACATCCGCCACGCTGATCCTCAACACGGGGGCCCCTCAGGGGTGTGTGCTCAGTCCCCTCCTGTACTCCCTGTTCACTCATGACTGCATGGCCAGGCACGACTCCAACACCATCATTAAGTTTGCCAACAACACAACAGTGGTAGGCCTGATCACCGACAACGACGAGACCGCCTATAGGGAGGAGGTCAGAGACCTGGCCGTGTGGTGCCAGGACAACAACCTCTCCCTCAACGTGATCAAGAAAAAGGAGATGATTGTGGACTACAGGAAAAAGAAGAGGATCGAGCACTCCCCCATTCTCATCGACAGGGCTGTAGTGGAACAGGTTGAGAGCTTCAAGTTCCTTGGTGTCCACATCACCAACAAACTAACATGGTCCAAGCACACCAAGACAGTTGTGAAGAGGGCACGACAAAACCTATTCCCCCTAAGGAGACTGAAAAGATTTGGCATAGGTCCTCAGATCCTCAAAAGGTTCTACAGCTGCACCATCGAGAGCATCCTGACTGGTTGCATCACTGCCTGGTATTGCAACTGCTCTGCCTCCGACCGCAAGGCACTACAGAGGGTAGTGCGTACGGCCCAGTACATCACTGGGGCCAAGCTTCCTGCCATCCAGGACCTCTATACCAGGCGGTGTCAGAGGAAGGCCCTAAAAATTGTCAAAGACTCCAGCCACCCTAGTCATAGACTGTTCTCTTTGCTACCGCACGGCAAGCGGTACCGGAGCGCCAAGTCTGGGTCCAAGAGGCTTCTAAACAGCTTCTACCCCCAAGCCATAAGACTCCTGAACATCTAATCAAATGACTACCCAGACTATTTGCATTGCAACCCCCACCCTTTTATGCTGCTGCTACTCTCTGTTTATTATCTACGCATAGTCACTTGAATAACTCTACCTACATGTACATATTACCTCAATTACCTTGACTAACCGGTGCCCCCTCACATTGACTCGGTACAGGTACCCCCTGTATATAGCCTCGCTATTGTCATTTTTACTGCTGCTCTTTAATTATTTGTTACTTTTATTTTGTATAATTTTATATTGTAGTTTTTTGTGATTTTTTGGGGGGGGTTGGTATTCTTTCTTAAAACTGCATTGTTGGTTAAGGACTTGTAAGTAAGCATTTCACTAAGGTCTACACATGTTGTATTCGGCGCATGTGACAAATAAAATTTGATTTGATTTGAATTCACCATTCAGCAGGACAATAACCTAAAACACAATGGCAAATATACACTGGAATTGCTTACCAAGAAAACAGTGAATATTCCTGTTTGTTTTGACCTAAAACTGCTTGAAAATCTATGGCAAGACTTGAAAATGGTTGTCTAGCAATGATTAACAACCAATTTGACAGAGCTTGAAGAATTTTGAAAAGAATAATGGGCAAATGTTGCACAATCCAGGTGTGGAAAGCTCTTAATGACTTGCCCAGAAAGACTCACAGCTGTAATCGCTGCCAAAGGTCCTTCTACAAAGTATTAACTCGGGGGTGTGAATACATATGTAAATGAGATTTCTGTATTTCATTTTCTATAAATTTGCCAACATTTTCAGAAACATGTTTTCACTTTGCCATTATAAGGTTTTGTGTGTGTAGATGGGTAAAAAAAAAAATATTTAATACATTTTTTATTGTCTGTAACACAACAAAATGTGGGATAAGTCAAGGGGTATGAATACTTTCTGAAGGCACTCAAACTATTCAGACCCCTTGACATTTTCCACATTTAGTTGTTCTAAAATTGATTAAATTGTTTTTTTCCCTCCTCAATCTACACACAATACCCCATAATGACAAAGCAAAAATAGGTTTTTAGAAATGTTTGCAAATGTATTAAAAATACAAAACTGATGTCATATTTACATAAGTATTCAGACCCTTTGCTCAGTACTTTGTTGAAGCACCTTTGGCAGCGATTACAGCCGCAAGTCTTTTTGGGTATGACGCTACAAGCTTGGCACACCTGTTTTTGGGAAGTTTCTCCCATTTTTCTCTGCAGATCCTCTCAAGCTCTGTCAGGTTGGATGGGGAGCATCGCTGCACAGCTATTTTCAGGTCTCTCCAGAGATGTTTGATCGGGTTCAAGTCTGGGCTCTGGCTGGGCCACTCAAGGACATTCAGAGACTTGTCCCTAAGCCACTCCTGCGTTGTCTTGGCTGTGTGCTTAGGGTTGTTGTCCTGTTGGAAGGTGAACCTTCGCCCCAGTCTGAGGTCCTTAGCACTCTGGAGCAGGTTTTCATCAAGGATCTCTCTGTTCTTTGCTCCGTTCATCTTTCCCTCGATCCTGACTAGTCTCGCAGTCCCTGCCGCTGAAAAACATCCCCACAGCATGATGCTGACACCACCATGCTTCACCGTAGGGATGGCGCCAGGTTTCCTCCAGACATGACGCTTGGCATTTAGGCCAAAGAGTTCAATCTTGGTTTCATCAGACCAGAGAATCTTGTTTCTCATGGTCTGAGAGTCCTTTAGGTGCCTTTTGGCGAACTCCAAGCGGGCTGTCATGTGCCTTTTACTGAGGAGTGGCTTCCGTCTGGCCGCTACCATAAAGGCCTGATTGGTGGAGTGCTGCAGAGATGGTTGTCCTTCTGGAAGGTTCTCCAATCTCCACAGAGGAACTCTGGAGCTCTGTCAGAGTGACCATCTGGTTCTTGGTCACCTCCCTGACCAAGGCTTTTCTCCCCCGATTGCTCAGTTTGGCCAGGCGGCCAGCTCTAGGAAAAGTCTTGGTGGTTCCAAACTTCTTCCATTTAAGAATGATGGAGGCCAATGTGTACTTGGGGACCTTCAATGCTGCAGAAATGTTTTGGTACCCTTCTGTGCCTCAACACAATCCTGTCTTGGAGCTCTACGGACAATTCCTTCGACTTCATGGCTTAGTTTTTGCTCTGACATGCACTGTCAACTGTGGGACCTTATACAGACAGGTGTGTGCCATTCCAAATCATGTCCAATCAATTGAATTTACCACAGGTGGACTCCAATGAAGTTGTAGAAACATCTCAAGGATGATCAATGGAAACAGGATGCACCTGAGCTCAATTTCGAGTCTCATAGCAAAGGGCCCAAACACTTATGTAAGTAAGTTTGTATTTTTAATTTTTTGGTCAACATTTCTAAAAACCTGTTTTCGCTTTTCATTATGAGGTGTTGTGTGTAGATTGATGAGGAACATGTTTGTTTTTTAAATCCATTTTTGAATATGGCTGTAACATAACGAAATGTGGAAAAAGTCAAGGGGTCTGAATACTTTCCGAATGCACTGTATATATTTTTTTGTATCCATGTTGTCCATGAGTTTCTAGTAGCTGAACATATGGTTCAGTAGAAAATAGCCTAATCAATTAAAAAATAATGGCAATTACCTCTGCAACTCTTCCAACTTGACTTTGTCACAACTGCCACCAGTTTAATGCCAAAACATTGACAACAAATACATATTTACATAGTCAAATAAATAAGTGTAAAAAAATAATGGAAGAATATATATTTCATGCTGAAACCCTCATGTTAAATGCCAGTGGAACGCACTAATTTGGTTTATATTTATGATCATGTTTTACAGATTCGTCATTCTTTTTTTCTTTAAAAATAAAATAATCTTATTTCATATATTTTACAGGTGATAAGGGCACTCCTCAGGACATAGATAATTAGAGACCTGTAATAATCAAAAGGGTCTCTGTCTTCTGATAGAGTACATAAAATCCTTGAAAGATACCACAATTCTGGTAGTTTACTGGTAAACTTAGAACGTTTCAAGTAATATACCCTCGCTTTGCATCCCTAGTCAGAGGGACTTTATTATTAATGTATACAAGTATAGATCACATTTTAATAGAATTTAATAGATGATCTCTTTGAGGCCAGTCCAAATGGTGGTCCTCATCACTGGCTACTTCCCACGCTGCTGTTTTGGCTCCTTATGCACCAGGCTGGAGGAGAATTAGTAGATGAGTAGGTTGAGGCAGCACCACTGGGTGCAGGGCCTTGGTGGGCCAGGCCACAGCCCACGTGGGTCAGGGTGTAGCCCAGCAGGTTAAGGTGGTTGGGGATGAAGCAGAGCAGAAAGGCACCCAGTAGATGATGAGGGTGCGCTGGTGGCTGCGGCGCTGCGAGTGGGAGTGGTGTTGGGGCTGGCGGAGCACCCGCAGCGCGCTACAGTAGCTGAAGAACAGCAGCAGAGCTGGCCAGGAAGATTAAGTTGCGCTGGGACGACGGGTCTAGAAGGCAGGGCAGTGTGCCGCGGCGGAGCGCAGCAGAGGCAGGGCCACGCTGCGCCCCAGCACCACCACAGAGATCCCTCCGCTCAGCAGCTGCGCCGCACACAGCCTGCGAGGGGGCACCACCAGAGGGTGCACCACAGCAACGTAGCTGTCAACAGCGACACAGACCAGAAAGAAGATCCCTCCATACAGGCTACTTAAGGGTGAAGGTCAGCTGACAGAACATCTCTCCAGGGGTCCAGGGGGTAGGCAGTGCCTGGGAGTGGGCCTGGGCCTTGTGGTAGTAGTAGATCCCCAGGGGCAGGGACAACACGAAGAACAGGTCTGCAGCAGATAGGTTGGCCATGTAGATGGCGGTGCTGGTGAGGGTGCAGGGGGAGAGCCACAGTCTGCGCAGGGCCAGCCCGTTGGTGGCCAACCCCAGCAGGAAGATGACGCTGTAGGACTCCTGGTAGAAGGTGAAGCGGTAGCTGACGTCAACGGTACAGTAGGGAAGAGCGGGTGGGAGAGGGCCACCACCTCTGTCTGGTTCCTCAAATCCATGGATAGCTTTGGTCTTTCTGGTTGCACCTCATTGCTTTGTCTCCCTCATGTCTGGGGAGAAAATAAGGGAATATGATGAAAAATAGGGCTAGATACTGTACCTACTGTTCCAGCAGTTTAACATGCAGCAGATATACGCTTAATTAGACTCATACTCTTTATGAATTTTTTATATTTGCACACTGGTGATCTTGAGAGTAGTCTGCTGGCACAGCAGGATTGGAGTTACTTTGAATCTAATGGAAAAGTCTACAACCCCTCTCACACGCAAACACACACCTGGTCAATGCAAAGGGAATTTTCCATCCCAGTAACTGTTCTCCCTACTTGTAAAACCCACTGGGTCCATACTTCTGAACATTAGAAAAAGTTGTAAGTTAAAACTTTTTTTCTGTCTCAAACTGTGCATCAGCCAATTAAAATAGTTGACATATAGTGAGGGAAAAAAGTATTTGATCCCCTGCTGATTTTGTATGTTTGCCCACTGACAAAGAAATGATCAGTCTATAATTTTAATGGTAGGTTTATTTGAACAGTGAGAGACAGAATAACAACAACAAAATCCAGAAAAACGCATGTCAAAAATGTTAGAAATTGATTTGCATTTTAATGAGGGAAATAAGTATTTGACCCCCTCTCAATCAGAAAGATTTCTGGCTCCCAGGTGTCTTTTATACAGGTAACGAGCTGAGATTAGGAGCACACTCTTAAAGGGAGTGCTCCTAATCTCAGTTTATTACCTGTATAAAAGACACCTGTCCACAGAAGCAATCAATCAATCAGATTCCAAACTCTCCACCATGGCCAAGACCAAAGAGCTCTCCAAGGATGTCAGGGACAAGATTGTAGACCTACACAAGGCTGGAATGGGCTACAAGACCATCGCCAAGCAGCTTGGTGAGAAGGTGACAACATTTGGTGCCATTATTCGCAAATGGAAGAAACACAAAAGAACTGTCAATCTCCCTCGGCCTCCATGCAAGATCTCACCTTGTGGAGTTGCAATGATCATGAGAACGGTGAGGAATCAGCCCAGAACTACACGGGAGGATCTTGTCAATTATCTCAAGGCAGCTGGGACCATAGTCACCAAGAAAACAATTGGTAACACACTACGCCGTGAAGGACTGAAATCCTGCAGCGCCCGCAAGGTCCCCCTGCTCAAGAAAGCACATATACAGTGGGGGAAAAAAGTATTTAGTCAGCCACCAATTGTGCAAGTTCTCCCACTTAAAAAGATGAGAGAGGCCTGTAATTTTCATCATAGGTACACATCAACTATGACAGACAAATTGAGATTTTTTTTCTCCAGAAAATCACATTGTAGAATTTTTAATGAATTTATTTGCAAATTATGGTGGAAAATAAGTATTTGGTCACCTACAAACAAGCAAGATTTCTGGCTCTCACAGACCTGTAACTTCTTCTTTAAGAGGCTCCTCTTGTCCTCCGCTCGTTACCTGTATTAATGGCACCTGTTTGAACTTGTTATCAGTATAAAAGACACCTGTCCACAACCCTCAAACAGTCACACTCCAAACTCCACTATGGCCAAGACGAAAGAGCTGTCAAAGGACACCAGAAACAAAATTGTAGACCTGCACCAGGCTGGGAAGACTGAATCTGCAATAGGTAAGCAGCTTGGTTTGAAGAAATCAACTGTGGGAGCAATTGTTAGGAAATGGAAGACATACAAGACCACTGATAATCTCCCTCGATCTGGGGCTCCACGCAAGATCTCACCCCGTGGGGTCAAAATGATCACAAGAATGGTGAGCAAAAATCCCAGAACCACACGGGGGGACCTAGTGAATGACCTGCAGAGAGCTGGGACCAAAGTAACAAAGCCTACCATCAGTAACACACTACGCCGCCAGGGACTCAAATCCTGCAGTGCAAGACATGTCCCCCTGCTTAAGCCAGTACATGTCCAGGCCCGTCTGAAGTTTGCTAGAGTGCATTTGGATGATCCAGAAGAGGATTGGGAGAATGTCATATGGTCAGATGAAACCAAAATAGAACTTTTTGGTAAAAACTCAACTCGTCGTGTTTGGAGGACAAAGAATGCTGAGTTGCATCCAAAGAACACCATCCCATCAGCAAGAGCATTGAAGATGAAACGTGGCTGGGTCTTTCAACATGACAATGATCCCAAACACACCGCCCGGGCAACGAAGGAGTGGCTTCATAAGAAGCATTTCAAGGTCCTGGAGTGGCCTAGCCAGTCTCCAGATCTCAACCCCATAGAAAATCTTTGGAGGGAATTGAAAGTCAGTGTTGCCCAGCGACAGCCCCAAAACATCACTGCTCTAGAGGAGATATGCATGGAGGAATGGGCCAAAATACCAGCAACAGTGTGTGAAAATCTTGTGAAGATTTACAGAAAACGTTTGACCTGTGTCATTGCCAACAAAGGGTATATACCAAAGTATTGAGAAACTTTTGTTATTGACCAAATACTTATTTTCCACCATAATTTGCAAATAAATTCATTAAAAATCCTACAATGTGAATTTCTGGATTTTTTTTTCTCATTTTGTCCGTCATAGTTGACGTGTACCTATGATGAAAATTACAGGCCTCTCTCATCTTTTTAAGTGGGAGAACTTGCACAATTGGTGGCTGACTAAATACTTTTTTTCCCCACTGTACCTTCCACGTTGTGCATTATTTTCCATAGAACGCATAGCCCCTCGTTGATTATCCCTTGCATACACTCATTAGCCAGTTTATTAGGTACACCCTTCTAGTACATGGCCGGACCTTCCTTTTTGCCTCCAGAACAGCCTGAATTCTTCGTGGCATGGATTCTACAAGGTGTGGCGTTGAAATGTTGCTCCATTGGTATCAAGGGACCTAACGTGTGCCAGGAAACCATTCCCCACACCATTACACCGCCACCAGTCAGTACTGTTGACACCAGGCAGGATGGGGCCATGGACTCATGCTGCGTACGCCAAATCCTGACTGCCATCAGCATGACGCAACAGGAACCGGGACTCGTCAGACCAGGTTATGTTTTTCCACTCCTCAATTGTCCAGTGTTGGTGATCGCGTACCCACTGGAGCCACTTCTTCTTGTTTTTTGCTGATAGGAGTGGAACCCCATGTGGTCGTCTGCTGCAATAGTCCGTCCGTGACAAGGACTGACGTTGTGCGTTCCGAGATGCCATTCTGCACACCACTGTTGTACTGCGCCGTTATTTACTGGAACCGGCGCACCCGACGATCATACCGCGCTCAGTCTCTTAAGTCACTTGTTTTGCCCATTCTGACGTTCAATCGATGAGTAACTGAATGCCTCGATGCCTGTCTGCCTGCTTTATATAGCAAGCCAATGCCACCTGACTCACTGTCTGTAGAAGTGAACCATTTTCGTGAATAAACTGGCCACTGAGTGTATATTAGTGAGTTAGCCTACATAAATGTACATGTACAAAGTTTTATATGCATTGCTATCATCCACTTCGTCACATACGTTATATGCATCAAGGACCAGCAGTGAAGTGTTTTCCTTAAACAAAAATATTTGACGCAAGGGGGGCTCGACCCCACAGTGAATGTGAACTATAGTTTTAGTCAACCGCTTTAGCGGGCCGATGTGTGCCAATGATGATGACGGTACATCACAGCCATTTGACAAGTCCATAAGGCTCTTCAATGTTTGTTTTTTAACGATGTATGGTAAACTTAAATGTTGTATAGACCTCCTTTTTATCTTTTTCCTGTAAAAGCACATGGATGTGTGTAAAATGGATGAGCAGAAACTTGGGATTTTGTCATATGCGAAAACATGCCTTTTTGAATTTGGTTTAATGTTAGTAGCTTAGTCAAGGATACATCATGCAATATTGGCACTTGAGATAGACCAAGTGGAACAAAAGTAAACCTTGAATTTGGAAGTTTGAAATATCCCTCTGGTGGCCAAATTGACCTATTTTAAGAAATACCATTGGTTGGTGGATATACAGTAAAGTGTTAACCCTTTACACTTGTACCCGTATACGGGTTGAAAATGGCAGATTTGGGCACTAATAAGCGCCTGTACAGTAACATGCTATACATGACGTCAGAGCTTTGGCTCTGTGCTTCATAGCACTGTATGGGTTTTGACTGGCAGCCGTTCTGAACTTGAGCACCGCGTGCGACAAGTTGCCCGATCCCTCCTGGTAATTGGGCAACAAATGTTTGTTTTTTTTAGTTAGGGGAAATGCTGTAAATTAAGTTGACTATGTACAGTGAGGGAAAAAAGTATTTGATCCCCTGCTGATTTTGTACGTTTGCCCACTGACAAAGAAATTATCAGTCTATAATTTTAATGGTAGGTTTATTTGAACAGTGAGAGACAGAATAACAACAAAAAAATCCAGAAAAACGCATGTCAAAAATGTTATAAATTGATTTGCATTTTAATGAGGGAAATAAGTATTTGACCCCTCTGCAAAACATGACTTAGTACTTGGTGGAAAACCCTTGTTGGCAATCACAGAGGTCAGACGTTTCTTGTAGTTGGCCACCAGGTTAGCCCACATCTCAGGAGGGATTTTGTCCTACTCCTCTTTGCAGATCTTGTCCAAGTCATTAAGGTTTCGAGGCTGACGTTTGGCAACTCGAACCTTCAGCTCCCTCCACAGATTTCCTATGGGATTAAGGTCTGGAGACTCTCTAGGCCACTCCAGGACCTTAATGTGCTTCTTTTTGAGCCACTCCTTTGTTGCCTTGGCCGTGTGTTTTGGGTCATTGTCATGCTGGAATACCCATCCACGACCCATTTTCAATGCCCTGGCTGAGGGAAGGAGGTTCTCACCGAAGATTTGACAGTACATGGCCCCGTCCATCGCCCCTTTGATGCGGTGAAGATGTCCTGTCCCCTTAGCAGAAAAACACCCCCAAAGCATAATGTTTCCACCTCCATGTTTGACGGTGGGGATGGTGTTCTTGGGGTCATAGGCAGCATTCCTCCTCCTCCAAACACGGCGAGTTGAGTTGATGCCAAAGAGCTCCATTTTGGTCTCATCTGACCACAACACTTTCACCCAGTTCTCCTCTGAATCAGTCAGATGTTCATTGGCAAACTTCAGATGGGCATGTATATGTGCTTTCTTGAGCAGGGGGACCTTTTGGGCGCGGCAGGATTTCAGTCCTTCACGGCGTAGTGTGTTACCAATTGTTTTCTTGGTGACTATGCTCCCAGCTGCCTTGAGATCATTGACCAGATCCTCCCGTGTAGTTCTGGGCTGATTCCTCACCAACTCATGATCATTGCAACTCCACGAGGTGAGATCTTGCATGGAGCCCCAGGCCGAGGGAGATTGACAGTTCTTTTGTGTTTCTTCCATTTGCGAATAATCGCACCAACTGTTGTCACCTTCTCACGAAGCTGCTTGGCGATGGTCTTGTAGTCCATTCCAGCCTTGTGTAGGTCTACAATCTTGTCCCTGACATCCTTGGAGAGCTCTTTGGTCTTGGCCATGGTGGAGAGTTTGGAATCTGATTGATTGATTGCTTCTGTGGACAGGTGTCTTTTATACAGGTAACAAGCTGAGATTAGGAGCACTCCCTTTAAGAGTGTGCTCCTAATCTCAGCTCGTTACCTGTATAACAGACACCTGGGAGCCAGAAATCTTTCTGATTGAGAGGGGGTCAAATACTTATTTCCCTCATTAAAATGCAAATCAATTTATAACATTTTTGACATGCGTTTTTCTGGATTTTTTTGTTGTTATTCTGTCTCTCACTGTTCAAATAAAATTAAAATTATAGACTGATCATGTCTTTGTCAGTGGGCAAACGTACAAAATCAGCAGGAGATCAAATACTTTTTTCCCTCACTGTATTTTGAAAGATGAATTGTTGAGGATTATAATAAATACTGCTTTGTCATACAAGCAAGTCCAAATGTGCACTTCACATCTCCAAATCATAAAACTCATGCCATATACAGTGTCAACGTTTTATGATTATCATGTTTGAGGTACAGTTACAAGATGACGTCATACGCTGGGTTGTTCTGAACAGAATGAGCATATGCTTGTTTATTGTGAAAAAAGTTTTAAGTTTGCCACGCGCTCATGACTCCTTTCTATGCGCACCAAAATGATGATCTGTTTCTCTGAATTGCCTTGTGAAAGCCTAACACTGTAAGATTGTATTTAATAATTTTGCTAGTCATGTTGGCGATAGAAGAAGCTTTCAAATCACGCATCTCAGGTTATGTAATGGAAACATCTAACGTAGGTTTTTTTCACGTGCATCTACGTTAGAATTATAATTGTCTGATGCACGTTTTTTTTTGGTGTAAATTCTAATGTACGCAAGCAAGTATGGGCCCACTGTGACTAAGGTATGTAAATAACTTCAATATCCTGTAGAAAATAATCATCCCACATTTGTTAATGGTTGATTTGAAAATGCAATGTAGTGCTTTCCAATAGAGATTAGCATGCCATCTAGTGTCATTTCCATGACCACTGTCACTTTTGTTTTCTGCTGTGAACAGAGAGCTCTTGTTAAGCCTCATGTCAGATTTGACATAGAATCTAACTGTAGGACTATCTGGAGTTCGTCTGTGATTTACTAGGAAAGAAGATGGCAGTCAAATTCCTCCCAAGAGTAGTGTGTGTGTCTTTCAGAGAAACTCAAGCACATGCTCCAGGCAGAGAAAATATTTAGAAATCCCCAGACTTGATGCACTTAGTGTTACCCTGGAGAACAAGCCTTTTTCCTTAGTGTCTCTCCTTCCTAGTTCCTTGGAAAATGAACTCTTACAATCTCTATAGACTAGAACATCTATAGCCTAATATTCTTAGCTGCACAATATCTTAATAGTTTCTTCAGGGATTTGAGACTCAGAAACAAGGATATTTCTGTAAAACCCATGCACAAAACTGTCTTAAATGACACTTCAGATTTTCCCATCTTTTGAGGCTATAAGAATTGTGTGTGTAAAGTGTCATATTTTGAGTGCAAGCTGGTTATTGAGTACATGAAGACATTCACTTATGTTTTGGAAAGATTGTGATAATCCAAGATTCTCTTACTCCACGGTAAGTCGTTTTCAAAGGAAATATCGTATTTTGGTGTCCAGCCTCAGTCCTCTACTGAAATGGTGCTCGGTTTGATTTGGCTGTGTTCTTGGTCCATTTGAAATGAAGGGTCTAAGATAACCATTTCAGTTTACTCCTACGTTCGGACACCTTTATACAATCTCTCTCCGACACACACACACACACACACACACACATTCTGTCCTCTGGTTACACTGAATCAATAGTGGTGTTTAACCTCACCGTCACTGTCCCAACTCCCAGACAACCCTCTCAATGCATCTCATTGACCAGTTAACTGGTATGGCATTATAATTGAAGCAAGGCAATATCCTGGAGCTGCTAGTTAAGTCTCCACATAAGACAGTTTTCCTCTGGTGCCTGTTGTCTTCTATACATTTACACATTTTATGTAGTGTCAGTGTTTTTAATTAGGCTGTATGCTGAGTACTGTAACTGACAGAAACAACATCACTCTTCCAGTGTTTATGGATGTTTAGGCCTGTTTGGCTTGTTTTGTGTTCACATCACCTCTTGTATGTTTGAGGATTGGTGCCAAAGCCCAACAATCTGCACACTTTCCCCACAAAAGCGTGTGCTCACTCGACTGCTTTGGTTTCACAATCCTTCCCATCAGATGAGTGAGTAGTGAAGAAGAGCAGTGTGTCTGTCAGCTGAGAGAATGGGAATGTTCTTCTCATAGTAAAGCCATAGATTGCTCAAATGTATCACCTTCTTACATGGCGTTGACAAGAAACCCTGATATGAAATGCCCAATCTATGAATAATATGTTGATGGCCTGAAATACTTAGCATTGAGCAGTTTTTCTTTCCCATAATCCTTCAGTGTTGATTTAGTTATTTGTTGACTTTTTTACTTTGTTGTACATTTTGGCCACCCACCCACCACTGGTAGCTATGCCTCTGCCCTCTGGCTGTATAACAGCCCAGATGTTTCTCACATTTCCCACATGGCTGATGCTGTTGAAGAGCAGTTTTCTTCAGGTTATAGCCCTCGGATATGATAGTCTGGTATTCTATGTTGCTTAACAGGGCCAGAATGTGTTCATAGCCTTTTCTCTTTGGTTTAACTTTGGGGGTTTTCTATGTAAAATAACCAACCAGTGATCTTAGATCAGGCTTAAATCCACTTTCTTACTCTGTTTTTGTTTCACACTCTTAATCATTGTTATGGTCTCTAAGGCGACATTGGTTATGGTGTGCCACTCCTTAAAATAATGATTCAACCCGTTATCATAAGCTAGCCAGACGTCCTTTGTCATGCTTGGCAATGGTTTGAGGTGGGTTCTGTGTGCGCTAGCTATTTGTTGTTTTAAGTTGTTTGATTCATGTGAGCAAGGTAGAAGGTATTATTGCTACGCTAGTGAGGCAATGTCATACATCTGAAAGACTGATAACCACCTACGTTTGTAAAATGCTCTAAATATCTCACTCTGTTTATTACCCACAAATCAATATGTGGCGTGCAAAGGTAAACCTGGGTAATATCATACATTTACCGCCATCTCTTCATAGTGACTTAACAAAACAGATGAGAACTTGCTTGCTTACTTTTTATTCATTCAAGGCACCATCACTATTGGGAGAAATAGGTTGCAAGTCAAATGTCTTGCACTATAGTGCTATTTCATCATTTTAGTTTTTAATCTACTGTACTTAGTCACAGGTAAAACACTGTTTGACAACTGCCTGGTATCAAACGTTTTTCAATCAAACAACATTTAGAGACCCCAGTCACTGTTTGACAAGTCACAAAGTGTGTTGTGGGTAAATGTTCACACTTTTTTTTATACATTTTTTTCTAAATCCGTAGCACCACGCTCCAGGGTTTCTCCCCTCATTTTGGCAATGAGGCCCTTTTATCTACTTCCCCAGAGTCAGATGAACTTGTGGATACCATTTTTTATGTTTCTGTGTCCAGTATGAAGGAAGTAAGAGGTAGTTTCGCGAGCCAGTGCTAACTAGCATTTGCACAATGACTGGAAGTCTATGGGTTTCTGCTAGCATGCTAGCCAAAATTCCAAAGTATCCCTTTAACACGACAACACTCAGAGCTGAGTCACTGGATGGTACCCTTAATGCAACTGCACTTTAGGGTTTGCTCACTTTGTTCCTGTGATGCTATGGTTCCTATAGAATCCACTCAAGACCACTCATCTCCCATCTGTTAGCTCCGATCATCTGGGCGTGTTGCACCAAATATTGGCTCACTGAAATATTGATGTCAAATATCGCACTGATGCCTCATCAAGGTGGCTCGTGGGTGATGACGTCACACAGTGGACTCGTTGTAAAATACTTTGTCGCTCAGAGTCCTCAGGTTGTTCTGCATGATGCTCTGGCTCTGCAGCGTGTCTGTCTGAAGACCCTTGCCCAGCTTATTCTTGTTGCGAATTGCCATAGACTTACGTTTGATGGAGTTCTGGATGGTCTCGGAGGTGAAGTAGTAGATGACGGGGTCGAAACAGCAGTTGGTGACCGCAATGCAGAGCGCGATGGGGTAGATGGTCCTCACCACCGACTCCACAACGCAGCCCTTCAGCAGCTTGGTGCGGACCAGGGCATAGAACACCAGGTTGACATTGTAGGGGATGAAGCAGAAGCAGAAGATGAGGAGATGGACCACGATCATCCTCAGGATGTTGCTCTTGTTGAGCTGGCCCCCGCGGCTGATGGCCTGGGGCTGGCGCAGTGTCTGGAGGACCGAAACGGAGCAGAAGATGTTGACTAACAATGGAATCAGGAATCCCACCGTCTCAATAAACACCACCACCTTGGACAGACTGGACTTCCACTGCTTGTTGGAGAAGTTCTCAAAGCAGTAGTTGACAGAGGAGTTTTCGTTCCTGAGCGAGGTGGTGTCGAGGAGGAAGCCTGTCGGAAGGCTGCCAGACAGCACCAACACCCACACAGCGCAGCAGGCCAGCTTGGCGTTCCGTTTCGTCCGCAACGCCTGTGATCGGAATGGGTGGACGATGGCCAGGAAGCGGTCCACACTGATGCAAGTGAGGAAGAGAATGCTGCCGTACATGTTGGTGTAGAATAGGGAGACAGAAAGCTGGCAGAGCCCCCTGCCGAACGGCCAATCCTGGTTGATAAAGTAGAAGATCCTGAAGGGCAGGGTGAGGACAAAGAGCAGGTCGGACACCACCAGGTTCATCATGTAGGTGGTGGTCTCGTTGCGCAACTTCAGTGTGCAGGCGAAGATGTACATGGCAGCCATGTTGAAGAGCAGCCCGACTATGAAGACCAGGCTGAAAACCGAGATGTACAGGATGTACTTGAAGCCATCACTCTTAATACAGCTCGTGTTGGTTTGGCTCAAGCCAAGAGCACTAATGCCATCAGTCTCTAGAGTGCTGTTATTCATCTTTAGAGAGGAGTGGATATGAATGTCAATACAACAATGGGAATGTTGTTGTGGAAAGCAGCGATCACTTGTACAAGATAATTCTAAGGAATAGAGGACTAAATTGTCCTTAATTGCAGGGGTACACATCAGTTGATGTTATCTATGTAATTTCCCTTTAAGAGTTAGCATCTTCCCCCAGCATTAGAGAATACTAGTTCGAAAAAAATAACCACACTTTCACTCCTATCCAATGTTCATAAGCATAACAATGTGCTCATGCGAACACCACCATGTCCAGTGTTTTAAAAAGAACAGCAAGTAACTCCATCAATACCTGTGCTTGTATCCAAAAAGACAAGACCAGTCCTCTCAGTTAATCCACTGGTAAGTGTACAATGTGTCACGGAATTATAAGATCCCAGGCCTATTTTTATGTCCTCTGTTATGAACAGCCTTGATGTTGGCTTCTCGGAGTCTGGAGCATTTCTCCTCTCACTCCAGAGTCAGTGGTGTTTCTTGCTCCAGTGAGAGAGGGGGGAGTCATGTGCCTCTCCTCGGGTCTGTGAGCTGAGCGTCTGAGAGGCTCTGGGTCCCTCCTGGCCTCTGGCAGCCCTCTTCCTGTCTGATCCTGCTGCAGCCCCTTGGGGCATGGTGCTCCTACTGACCCTACACTTGTAGACAGACGGGCTTTGCTGCAGCCTGTCTGTCCTGTCCGCCACAAAATACAGCCTTTCCAGGCCTAAAAGTCAGTGGAGTGGAGTCAGTCTTCTGTTTTGAAGCTCTACCACATACTGAAGCTTAACGGACTGCTTGCTTACACACTGGGAGGAGTAGGCTACCACCCATCCAAGGCCCTCCCACATCTGACTGCTTTAGCTATGTAATCACCTGAGGGATTTGTCTCTGGCTGGGCTTGGCGGGAGACGGGCGGAGTTGATGTTGTGGTGTTTTGAACGTTTAAAGACATCCTCCAGTGATTTATTTTAATTTTAAATAACTGTTCCTGTTAAAGTGATATACCAAGTATAAATAAACTAAAGTACACACACTAAAGGGTAAAATATGTTTTGAGCAAAATTGTTTTTTAGACAACTGGAAACTTCAAGGAGTAGAGCATTCAAGGAGTTGGTTTGATGAAGTTGTGATGTCATCGGCCTCCCCCCTTGCTTGAGGAGCAATAGAGAACAAAAGGGGAAAGGCCCACCCCGCCGCTTGTGCTATGTCATGACTTACCTGGAACACCTATTGATGTGCCTTTTGTTAAGTAAATCTGGTGTTAGGTGAAAAGGAGCCTGGCGTGCCACTGGCCCTTTATACCCCCAGGTTGAAGTAACCCTTTATACCCCCAGGTTGAAGTAACCCTTTATACCCCCAGGTTGAAGTAACCCTTTATACCCCCAGGTTGAAGTAACCCTTTATACCCTCAGGTTGAAGTAACCCTTTATACCCCCAGGTTGAAGTAACCCTTTATACCCCCAGGTTGAAGTAACCCTTTATACCCTCAGGTTGAAGTAACCCTTTATACCCCCAGGTTGAAGTAACCCTTTATACCCCCAGGTTGAAGTAACCCTTTATACCCCCAGGTTGAAGTAACCCTTTATACCCCCAGGCTGAAGTAACCCTTTATACCCCCAGGCTGAAGTAACCCTTTATACCCCCAGGTTGAAGTAGCTCTAGATATTGTGTGGAAAAACATTAGCATTTGTTGGCCTGTTAGCTTGTTTTTGTTCCTTTAGCATTCTGTCAGGATCTCATGAAAATGTCAATATCAATTAAATGTATGTAGGTTATTGTTTTGTCTTTATTTAGTTGAGCTGTAATGTCATTCAAACGTTCAAGCTAATTTATATATTTGATTTTCATCTAAGAGCTAGCCTACTCTCAAACAGTGGACATTTTCAGTTGACTGCTCTATTTGTCGAAACGAGTCAGTTAAGTCATACTCTCCTGTCAGCCCCAGAGCACAGTGTACTTTCTATTCGACTAATACTTTTTATTAGTCTGGTGTCAGCGAGCAGCTGCCTCAGAACAACAGGAAGGGGAAGGTTCCAGTGATGGCAAGCCTGAGCGTGCAGACTCTAACGAGATGAGACGGGACTAGGTGCAGTTTTCTCTGACGCAGATAGAGACGTGCTGTATGCTTGTATTTGTGTGCACATGTGGAAATGCATGTGTTCAATAAAATAACACACCTTTGATCTTCACTCAATGCTGCTTGACAAACAGCCTCATTGGGTCTTATTTTATGTTGGTGGATATAGTTGCTGGTATAGTCTTACTGTAAATAACCATGTAGGCCTACTTTCATAAACACACACACCCTTCCATACAGCTATGAATATAATTAAATTGAATAATGTTTCTGATAAGATCTGACAATGAAACCTAGGGAGTGACCATGTTCCACTGGTCAACCCAACACGACCAATGGCAACAGGGTACAGGGGTTGTTAACCCTGTGGATGAAGCTAGCCTCATTGAATAGAGGTTTGACATTCTGTTGTTTGTTATTATAGGAAGGAACACAGTCAGGGGAACATGACAATTTATCAAATGTGTCAATGATGAATTAATCCATTCTTGACGGTCCGATGAAGGCTCAACAATGTTGTTGACCCTGAGAGTGGCTCTGGCAATAGTCAAAACTTGTTAAGGAGGGGGTAGGGCAATATAAACTGCTAGTTCCATAAGAACACAGAATGTTCAGGACTGTAAGGTCAAAACAGACAAATTCTTTCCCCTCCTGCAGTTGTACCCTTTGCCAGGACAGCATACTTGAGATTGAGGGAATAGCTGAAACCAGAGTCATTCAGTGTTTTCCTCCCTCAGTGCAGACTGAGGACACAGCTGGGCTGTAGAATAACCGTTAAAGAAGGCGGGTTCCGTGTCTGTCATTTCCAGTCCTGATATGTGGACCAGTGGAGCACATAACAGTGAAAACACAGGTTAATTCCACATAAAACAACTGAACTGGTGCTCCCATACATTAGCGCACACATGCAAATGAACTCATGGTCAATGTTTGCTTCAGGGGTTTTCCAAATGCAGACCCTTCCGGAAATCTGTGTTTTTATTATATTTCACCTGCGTTCTAATTAAACAAACTGACAATAAATACATGGGTCCACTCAGTGTTGTAGAATGCAGGAAAATATGGGTCAGTTCAAGAGGGTACTATGTGAAAACGTAGTTTTCTTTACCCTATGTCATTATAGTCACATACAACAATCATTAATCTGAATGATATTATAGCCTCAATATGCTTGTACTCAAGTGCCGGTTGAAATATCAAAACGAACTCTGAACCACCGATATTAATTTGGGGACAGGTCGAAACGCATTAAAAGTTAATGGCCATTTAGCTAGCTAGCTTGCTGTTGCTAGCTAATTTGTCCTGGGATATAAACATTGGGTTGTTATTTTACCTGAAATGCACAAGATCCTCTACTCCGACAATTAATCCACAGATAAAATGGTAAACCTAGTTAGTTTCTAGGAATCTCTCCTCCTTCAGTCTCCTTCTTCTTTGGACTTTATATGGCGGTTGGCAACCAACTTTAAGGTGCATTACCACCACCAACTGGGCTGGAGTGTGGACCTCAGTTCAGCTTTCAATCACCCACGTGGGTATATGCTCCTAAAAACCAATGAGGAGATGGGAGAGGCAGGACTTGCAGCGCGTCAAGCGGAAAAAATAGAACCAAGTTGTGTATTTTAGCGCCTGGCTATGGAGATGCGCGCGAGCAGTTTGGATGAAATGATTTGAACAACATGTATGTGTAAAACATTTTTTGCAATGCTCGCGCACGTAACGCGAGCAGTGTAGTCAGCACGTTAGCCCATCTTACTTCCTCATCTCCCTCCCCTTTGTCGTTTCGGCACCCTGGTCAAAAATGGTGCGTGCCCTAGCAAAGTAAAAATGTCTATTTTGAAATTGGCATGAGTGTCTCCAGGTGATCACTGCCTATACCAGAGCGTTTCTTGGTCAGAATTCGGTTCTGGCAGCTGAATCCCCTTTCAGCGAGAATACTGGACACAGGGAGGACCACAGCAATGGCCGCAAGCTGAGCGTGTGCTGGGAACACGTCGCAAATGCCACTGACAGACTCCCGCCCTGGTTTTAGTTTTTTTTCCTGTGTGGAAAAATAAGAATTCTGCATTAACGTGACCCCTGTACTTTAGGAGCATGTTCCATGACCTTGGTATTACATAGTGTTGATGTGTTCGTAATGCTTTAATCCCTGTGTGAAATGCTGTAGAGCCTGTCTTATAAATGCTCTTCCATGTGTGTTTCTCCCCAGGATTCTCCACTGTTTGAGCTGCTGAGACAGACTCGTGAGGAGGGTCCAGTGGAACAGGCTAAGCCCCCTGCCACCCTCAACCAGCCCCTACAGCACAACCACACTGCAGCTGACCTGTAAGTCCCCAGTCCCTCATCAACCACTGACATACCTCATTCACAGTCGTCTGTGGAGAGACTGTCTGACTGTTAATATGTAGTTTATATGCCAAGATTGTCACGTTATACTTCTGCCTCGACAAGTGATGTGATTTAAACCAGACTTATGGTTCCATTCATCTGCCCCTCTGTCATTTGGTTTGTGTGAATTAAACTTGTAAATAGGCCAGTGAATAAGAGCTCTGCCTCAAAGAGGAACATCTTGGCTTTGAGGTTTTATTTGCATGAGAAAAGACTGGGATGCAAAGCTTTACAAAATACAGGGCAGATGAGGTCAGAGAGGACACACCCTGAGTGGAAAAGTTGTGTTTACACAACTCTCTGGTGTTGGAGAAAAGCATGGTACTGTACAGTAATCACCTTAACCTTTCACTGGAAGTGCCAAGACGTTTTATGCCAAGACCATCGACTTCCCTCAAGTCTAACTGTAGTACAACTATGTGTAGGGCCCTGAGTTTTACCTGGTCAGAAGAAACTGTGTAGTCCACGTCTTTCTAGGATTATTTGTAGGTAGGATGAAGGTAGGTTGTACTCCTGAGTGGCGCAGGGGTCTAAGGCA